AAAAGCGAGGTGTGCTGTGATTGGCCAGCTATCCAGTGCGTTGTGATTGGCCGAATTCCTCAAGCGTGTGACGGAAATGTTACGCCCCTTACCAGGTTCAGGAAACTTTCCTCTGTAAAATGCGCTGCACACATCTGGATATTTGGGTTGAAGTGTTCTGGAACAGTGTTGTAAATACAACTTAACCACTGATTTCTAGTCGTGTCCATTTTTGGAAGGCCAAACAGAGTAGTTTCGCTTTCACAACAAAACACACAGTATCTCCATGACATGGTGGCAGCAACAATACTACAGCGAGAATAAAAGTTACGCCTTCTTTCTTTGCGTGAACATTTGGGTGGCATTATGCAAATCTTCCCACATTGTGACGTAGACATGTGGGGGCGTGTTAGAACGAGCTGTTTTAGGTAGGCGTGGTTGACTCTTAACTTTTATAAAGAATATCTCTTTGGATTTGAGACTTTAGTCTTTGCAACTTTACAGATCTTCTTTATGCACCAAGAGCTTGTAACAGTCCAAAGAGAAAGGAAAAATTGAAATCGCATCATATGACCCCTTTAACTTATATTACTTTAGCTAGTTGCAATGGCAACATTTATAATTTTTGTTTAGTCGAAGTACTTAACATAAAATATTTAATCGTGCTATTTACCATATTCAAGTACAATTGACATTGTACTTCAGAGAGCACCATAGTATTTTAGGTCTCAACAGTTGTTTGCCTGAATAAGAGTGTAATCCTACCGTTCAGTACAGCCACCTGTGTTCCTCCGCATGCCGCCTGTCTGACTCGACCCACACCCCTCAGGGCCAGCAGCCATGGAGAGCTAATCTGAAAATCAGACTTTACAAATGAGCTGCTCAGCCTGTCATTGTTGCACTTATTGGACTATTTATTTTTCATATAAAACTCTTTATAAGAGTTACTTCTATGACCGTGAACAATCACTGGTATTTGTTTGCCAGTTGTGCTCTTTACCTGTGTGGCCTCAGTGACAGAGGCCAGCTGCAGATACTCGGAGTTTCCCCATCCAAAAACATGCCCATCTGTGGACACGGCCAAACTACAGTCTCCATATGTGGCCACCTGCTGAACTTTGACCCCAGCCAGATCTCCTCCGACGGGTACTGGACAGGAGGCCTTGTTGTGATAGCCCAGACCTTAAAATACATACCAGAGACATTAATCCTGAGGGAAGGGTCACATGGTCTGATGTGTACAAGTATGAGCTGTGAGTCACCGAGTATGTCTGGATACGTTTTTTGGAAAATGCCTAGAGGTGGGTTTCATAATGGAGTGGAACAAAAAGAGGGACTGAAAGAAAAGAGACAAAGATAATGACAGAAGGATGGTGAAACAAACCTGTTTGTCCATCTGCACCCCACCCACAGGCATACACTGAGCCTCTGTCTGTTAGAAACAGACTGTGATCCTGCCCACAAGCCACCTACAGGACGAGAGGAGCAGGACAGATGGAGTGAGACTCATGAAAAAATGTCAAGGTAATATTTCACCCCAAATTCCAAGAAAATAGCATATTTTTATTGCATAAATGCAATAAATCATATTTTACATAAAGAAAAATAAGCTTATTAAGACCTTAAAGACTTTTGAATCGTGACATTATTTTCATGGTAATTATTTAAAGTAATTAAACACATTTAACCCCAAATTCTCATTATCCTAATGACAGGAAATACATGTAATCTACTCATAAAAGTCATCCTGTTCATTTTCCTAAAAAAATAATAAATTAATAAAATAAATAAATGTAATACAAAAAAAAATACGATATAGTATACTGTCAAATGTTTTTGACAAATGTACTTTACAATTTTAATACCATTTAATTTTTTTATATTACAATAATGATAATATTTATATTTTTTCATATTTGAGTAGGAGTCACAGTGCACAGAAATCTTAATGGTCCTTAAATCAGTTTTTATAGTCTTTATGTAAAATATAATTTAATGAACACTGCCATTCAAACGTTTCTGAAAGAAGAGTCTTATGTGCGTAAACGCTGCATTCATTTGATCACAAATACCATCAAATTGTGAAATACTTTATAAAATAGCTGTTTTCAATTTAATAATATATTTAACATTTTTTGTTTTTCTGTGACGGCAAAGCTGAATTTTTAGCAGCTATTACTTCAGTATTCAGTGTCACTCGATGCTTCAGAGACCATTTTAATATGCTGACTTGCTGCTCAAGAAACATTTATTATCTAGTTGAAACTGCTTAATTGAATCTAACCCCAGCTTTTTATAGGGTAATTATTTCTTTTGATTTTGGGTTGAAACGACACAATAGGACTTCTGAGATTCAAATTTGATACCTGTGAATTTCCATCAGAAGAATGCGAGTAGAAAACTAGATTAGGAATTATTATAACTATTAAGAATGTTGAGTCTGTAAGAAATATATTTAGATGTTGATATTGTTACATTTACCATCAGCTATGAATTCATCAATGTACTGTATCATGCTAAAGTACTAAATGTCATCGCATACCTGGGTGACTCGACTGTCAAAGCCCTCAATCTTGTGAACAACATGACTGCCACTGCAGGGAACAGAAGAAAAGGATTGCCATTCTCAAATAAAATGTCAATAAAAGCAGCTTAAGCTTTATGCTCAGACAGTTTATTAGCAAATGAGACCAGAGTACATATCATGCTCTTCTTGGCTAAAATGGTTAGTATTTGAGTTGATAGGATTGCCTCTGTTACTGCTCAAATCATAAACCCACAAAAACTTTAAAGGGACAAAGACGAGCATTTCCCCGTCATGCTGAATAATCATTTCACTCCAAGCAACTAATGAAATAAAACCGACATAAACAGCAGTTAAAATATAAAGCTAATGGGATACAGGGAAAGAAATTGTTTTGGTTTAGCCACCACAACATAATGTGAAATAGAGTCCTTTGGTGAAAAACACTGGACTTATACTGCTGAAGGACAAACCTGAACACTTCATCCTCCACAATCTTCCTCCCACACTGCCCATAAGCATTATTACCCATGCTGAAAACTAATGAGAGAGAAAGAGAGACATGAAGGACTCATCACACTAGAGCACAATGATTTCATTTTATTTGAAATTTATTGACTTTATATAGAACCTGAGCACCTATAAATGCAACTTTAATCATTTTGAGAAGACCTCGCGCTACAGAAAGGTGCTCTATAATGACAATAAATCGCAGAAAGGTTATACGACAAAGCAGTGTTTGCTGACCTCCCTCAGAGTCTGTGAGCACTAGTGAGTGAGCACGTCCACATGAGACCTGCAGCGCTCGTGTCTCCTGAGGGTTCACCAGCGGAAGAGACACTGGAGACGCTTCCAGGACATAGTCGTAACTCTTATCTGCAAACACAAGACAATGTTCTTGAGGAAAAGAAAGTTTGGTGATGGTTGTAATGGTTCCAGTAGATTCAGTTGGCAGCTCATTCCTTTAAAGAGGAACTGAGTGGATCATCAACGGCCACTACATGAATCTTCCCATGGCATGTTCAGTAGGAAGTGCTGAAGAACACTTTCACATTAGTTACCATCAGAGAAGAACAGAGAAGAAAAATTTTACTGTAACAACCCTACTTCCCCAACAAAAAAGTATCACGAAACTGCAGTGTTTTTTAAAGTACCTTGGAATTAATGTGGTAATTATTTCAAACCACTGATGGAAATACTTTACCATGAGCATATGAGTTACTGACAGGAGTGCAATGGTATTTTGGGGTTTCTTACGTCGGTCGTGTTGAGTACGTTGAAAGCCCAGCTGGGAGTCTTTGTTAAGGCCCATGCCCCACAATTTGGTCAGATCTCTGCTATTAGATGCTAATAAGGTGAAGCCGTATCCACAGGCTGCTGAGGAAATCTACCAAAATACAAACATAACATACTACCATTCAAAAAAAAAATTTTCATTTTTATTCAGCCAGGACACATTATATTGTTCAAGAGTGGCAGTAAAAACATTGATAATGATACAAAAGATTTCAAATAACTGCTGTCCTTTTGAACTTTCTATTCATTAAAGAATTCTATAAAACACATCACGGTTTCCACAAGCATATTAAGCAATACTTTAATGATAAAGTAAAAAAACAAAAAACAGAATATCAGATTAATTTCTTAAGGGTCATGTGACACTAAAGACTTGAGTAATAGCTGCTGAAAATTCAGCTTTGCCATCACAGGAATATATCACACATTAAAATATATTAAAATAGAAAATTGTTATTTTAAATTGTAATAATATTTCAGAATAATGCTGTATTTTTAACAAAAAAATGTAGATATATAAGACTTCTTCAAAACATTAAATAAATATTAACAACCCTAAACTTTTGAACAGCAGTGTTCAAAATATTTATCACATTTCTCGCATTTTTGGTACTTTATTGTTTAAGTAGAACATCACCTTCTGTTCAGTATCCAGGCGGTAAGGTGTGAGCTGGTACTTCCTGGGCTTTTTTCTGCCACTGTCCGGCACTACAAAGCTAGGGATCCCTAAAGCTCCAGTGTAGCTGAAGCCCCACACAAACACCTTCCCTTGGAGCTTCCTGTGTTGCCCCACATACTGGAACACGGGGGTGTCATCTTGCTGCTCCCGCTTTCTTGGGGTGCCAACTGGTCGAGTGGCATACGCACGGAGACCCAGATGAAAACCAAGACGGCCACAGGAGCGAAGGCTGACTAAAGCCATTATGACAGTCAACTGCATAATACACAAAATTCCAACATATACTCTGTTATACTTTATACCAATACTGAATATTAGTGAAATTAATAGAGGATTATCCAACACTAACATGAAATACCATGGCATAGGCATGATTTTAAATTTATTTTTTTATTTATTTATGTAGCATTCATCATGGTAGTTCTATATCTGGTATTCTCTTAAGTACCTTGGAGCAGCATGTAAAAACAATAAATACATAAATATGGTAATCACATTTACAAAGTAATATTAACATGACTTTTGGTCACAGGTATCACGGTGCACCTTGTAAACACCATGGTATATGTATATGAAATATATAAAGTACACTGTATAGCTATATAATACCAGAGCATTCTGTACTCTATTTTGTTTGGTGAACTCAATATTCACGCTCAATGATCGAAAAATCCTCTAATTTATTTGACACACAGCTTCAAATACTTCCTATCACATAATATGATTGACACATGAGCATATATCTGCGACTCTCCAAACTGTCTCGGCGGCTGAAATGAAACATACACAGTAATATAATGTGAAATTCGTCTATTCTGTGTTTTATGCTGCTCAGACATGTTTTCTGTGGAGGCAGCCATGACAGCTCACCGTATGAACTGTGACGTACGACGTGTGACGCATGACGTACACACAAACTACTTCTTCTTCTTCTTTTGGTTTTAACGGCAGCTTGCATCCTTGGTGTTGCATTACCGCCATCGTCTGGAGCTAGTTACTTCCCATATACAGCATCTTGTTTTTTGTTTTTTGTTTTCATATTCTTGAATCTTGATATTAGTCCCGTTTTAGTCAAAAACACAAATCAAATATTTAATTCCTTGTCCGCTCCTACTGCATTCCAGTAAATTATGGTCTTTAATCCACGTCCAGTTAATCCTATTTCCGCCATGTCTTTTACCAAGATCATCCTTTGAATTTCATATTTTGAAACATGTTCTACATTCTCAGGTATTTGGCACTGATCACAAAGTCCTGTTGGGTGTTTGCCTATCATATAAAGCGTGCTATTTACTGTGTCCTATTCTTAATCTGGTTAAAATAGTCTCTTTTCTGCTGTTTTTCCCTTTACTTTCCACTGTGCCCACTCTTACACACACACTAGTAAAGTAATTGTCGACGTGACCGATAGAGGACGGACGTGTCCTGTGTTTTCATTTATATTCGAGTAAGTTAACTTCTGTTTTTCGTTCATTTTGTTCCTGTACACAAAGAAAAGTTTAGCAAAAGTACATTACCAGAAAGTACCAAAAGATCCATGGCACTGCCGAGGGTTTTTGGACAGGAACTTTGGTAGTAGGCTACCATGGCATGTGGTAAATTAATATGACATTACCATTCGATGCCACAGTAGCCTACTTTTTATAGGAAGTTATGGCATATAAATATGTTAATCATGTACTATATTACCAACTGACCATCTCCCAGCACAATGGAATTTCTTCTTGACATCATATCATCACCATGCATTTGATTTGCAAATTATTATTTATTTACTTATTTGTCACTATTTACAAAAACATCAAGAATAGTAACAAACACAGCAAGTCATAAAAATGCATACTGGAATATGACATAAACGTTACACGTATAAAAATCTCTTAACGCATAGCTTATAACAGGTTCTGGCCTAAGCAGGAATGAACAGAGCATTTGTATAAACAAGTATCTGAATGCCTGTGACCATTTTTAACACAGATTCAAGTCAAGATTGAACACATCATCATCATCATCACTTCAGTTGGCCTCATGGATGCTGATTCTCTTGCATGTGTTCTCAGTGCAGCGCTCCAGAATGAGCTGAGGACTGGGCCGAGGAGGAATGACTGGAATACTTTTATCCAGATCTTCTGCTTGAGGAGAGCCTGATTTTACGATGTTCTCTACATAAACACAAATAGAATACATTTTAAGCAAAAAAAATAATAATATCCTGATCTATAAAACTGATCTTTTCAAAAATCTTTGTCAAGCAGAGCTACATGTTTGGCAGGCAATGCGTTAATGTTAGAACCACATAAAGAGACGAATGGAACAGTTACTATGTGAGGAAATAATTATGTAAATGTAATTATAGAATTACTGTAAAACCTGCAATCAGTACACAAAAATCTATCTATATCATTGATAGATATATTAGTGTTCATATATAAGCAAAAAATATAATAAAGAAGAAAAATATTTGCATAAATATACATTTTTTTTATCTGTCTGCTATATCCCACTATGAGGCACTATGTTCTTTATGGAGAATGCACACCTCTGTTTGTCTTCCTCTCCTGCAGTGGAGATCGTGTCACATTCCTGGATTGGGAGTTTAGTCTTCCTCGCTGCTGTAAGAACCGTCGACTCTGTCTTCGATAGCTGTCCTGACTGATTCGCTGACGTCCCTTAGGATTGATGCTGTGGGCATTGCGAATGGTAGACCTGTTGGCCAAAATTAATTGAAAAAAAAAAAGTTTTAGTCTGATATTTTGTAAATTATGATCAACCAAAGTGTTCAGTTATTATTATCTTATGTGTGGCGTTTCATAGACATATTGCTCTACCTTCTGGGTGGTGGTGTTGCTCTACTGACCACATCCTTCTCAGCATCCACCTCTTTCCTCTCTCCCGTCCTGCACATGAACATAGATGGGTAGAAGCCCGTATCTTCTCCTTTCCTGTATAAGACATTTGGGAATCTGATTCAATTATGACTCATCAAATGACTGCAAGCATTTCGATTGTTTCAAAACACCATCAAGTTCAATTTAGAGAGGTTGACTCGTACCTGACCACCCACCACCCATCAAGAAGTTTATGGATGACCTCGATCATCTCTCCTGCCTCGAGAGTCAACTCATCCTCTTCAACAGCTTTATACCCTTTAGTGGTTCTGTAGAGCTCTCCTGTCGTGGGTACATATCATCAGTACAATACAAACAGCATAATTAATCACTCCCAAAATAGTGTTTTGGGTCTCATATCAGTGGTAGTAAACATAGCAAAACACACTAACCCGCATAATTAGGCTCTGGTTCCTCTGATTCATCTGCTCCATCCGGAGGCTCTAAATATGAAGCTGGCACCCAGCCTCTCCTGGACTCACACTGACAAAACCACCAGCCTGTAAACATCAGATCACATCACAATTCAGACCTGCTTTTCCCTTTACTAATATGTGAAAATGTGGGAAGAGAGCTACGTGAGTATTAGTAAGTAATTTAACATGTATATTATATATTATACACTACTCTTCACAAGATTGGGGTTGGTATAAGATTTCTTTAAAAATTTTGAAAGGAGTCTCTTATGCTCACCAAGGCTGTATTTGATTAAAAAAATACAGTACAATAATAATAATAATAATAAATAACTATTTTATTATATTTTGAAGTGAAATGTATTCCTGTTATGGCAAATCAAAACTTTTTTTTTTATCATGATCAATGTGAAAACTGTTCTGCTTAATATTTTTGTGGCAAAAAAATAGCAAACATTTTGTATAAATGTTTTTACTGTCACTTTTGATCAAATTAATCTTGTTCTTGCTGATTATATAAGTATAAAAGTATTAATTTCTTTATATAATACTAATTTTATTATTGTATATAATTTACTATTAAAATGTCATTGTATTTTGAATTCAAATTGTTAATAAAAAATAAAATATATATTTTAGTACAGCCATATTTTACATCCTGCTCACCATTTGGGCTTTTTTCCACAATGTCCACCATGTCTCCCATCTTTAGAGAGAGCTCATACTTTGAGCTCTTGCTGTAGTCTGCAATCACTCTGTAGCTCTCAAGCATGATAGGCCCTGTGATCTCTGCAAAAAGAACAACAGCTATAAAACCTTTCGGGAAATGGCATAAGGCATTTGCAGATAAATTATATCAAAAGTAGAATTTGATCTTACCTGATGTGGTGTTGCTCCGTGCTCTGTTTGTGGACATAATGAATGTCTCATTTCTTTTGTATCTATAGAAAGGTAAAAGTCAAAAATAAATTTTCTGTAGTAAAAAAGCAGTTGCAGTTTCACATTTTATTCTTTTATGGCCTTTTTAAATTTATAGTAGGGACATGATCAGTGAACATCATGTACTGTAAGAGCATGTGAATAACCACTAAGCCACAGCTCCAGCTAACTTTAACCTGCCAGACTTACGGATGTGGTGCTAGTGGAGTTTCATCTTCAGGCCGCATTTTGAAGAAGTCACGTACAAGCTGACAGCGGGAGATCTTCGGAGGCAAGTTCAGAAGAGAGCGAAAGTATTCAGCGAGAGTCACCTGCCTCGTCTCTGTCGTTTTCTGGTTGTCGAGCCATTTAGGAGCTGAGAGAGATTTAATTACAGATCATCAGATGGAACGTTTCACTTGTATTGTCTTAAAGCAGCACTATGTAACTTTTTCTGTGTTCAAAATTTGCTAAAAGTATATAATGAGCGAGTACATCATGAATTCATCTTCCAAACCGCGTTTTTGTCTTATTCCGAATCACTACGGTACACTTATAATAAGTACTTATATTTGGACTATTGTAGCCTGGTCGGGTCGTCACCGCTGCGGAGTAACACATACCTGCGTGAATCGCCATAGACATAAACTTACAGAAGTAGCTCCGGTTGGAATGTTCTTCCGCGGGATGTGTGCTTTAAAGCAGCACTATGTAACTTTTGGCGCTCTAGCGGTTAATAAACAGACCTGCAGGCCTGCTTGAACACATAAAAAGTTACATAGTGCTGCTTTAATAAAGGCAACTCTGTGGTATGGTCGTGTTGCACAAACTCTTTTGACTTAATGATTCCAACATTTATTTTGCCTGCTATAACTGAGTACATTTAAATGGCTATTCAGTGTATACTGCATATGACACATTTTGTAATTCTTGTATATTATATATTGTATATTATGTACGCTACCACTACAGGACACACTGAGTCACAAATCAGTGTTACAGTGTGAGAAATTCAACACTGTGGTATGGTCACGTTGC